AGGACGGTTAGTTTCTATGATTACCATCCCATTTCCCTGCTGAAATTCTCATATCACAGTGAAGCGGGAGAACATGCCTTTGGCCAGTATGAAAACCCGTCGTTTTTAAGAACCAGCGCCCGTGAGCACGCAAACCAAATATTTGTTGACGGTTACATGGAACTTCTCGTCATTCGCTATGTAACCTAACTGTAACCTTTGCCCACCTGCTGACATTTCTCTAGTTTTCATGTTGATATTCCGTAGCTAGTACCAGTAGCCTTTACATTTGTAGGCCTCCCCTCGTAAAAAAATATACCCTGCTTTCAATTAGAGTCATTAAGGGGGAACCCTTGAATTTTTGATCTACGTGAGAGGAAGATTCCGCTGCTCTGATTGGCTGGGAGTTGTGGCCCGGTGATGAGCTTCATATTGACAAGTCCATCTACGATACAAAATGTCTGATATCAAGTCAGATAGTGCACGCCTGGACTTGTTAAGTGGTGCAGCATGATGGCTGACATCATACATACAAGAAACATACATGAGGGAAGGCCAGAATAGTCAATGTATTCTATTGAAGGAGCACTAATGAAAGACATCATATACAAGTATATGGCCATTACAGATCTACGTACACATTTGCAATGTTGAGGTCTACGGGCACAATATTTTCTTTCACAAATTTATTGTTATATGTACCCCTAATGCACTTGCTATATATACAAGTACTTAAAGGGCTAAACGAGAGAGGGAGGGGAGGTTGTCTGCCTCTACTAATCTCTAACTGATTGCACGTGACATGACAACAAGCACCCAGCGCCCTCAAAGCACCCTCAAAGCACCCTTTACATGACGCTCGGTAAACCCCCTGGGTCCAGGAAAACTAAGCGTTCTGGCACTTCATCCTCCGTACATGTCCACCACCTATACACCTCCCGGTCACTTAGCGGTCGCACCAGCCTACGACAAGAGGTTCTAAACGCCACGGCCATTCACAAGAGGCAGGCCAAGGATCGCATAGACCACACCCTTCGTCAGGATGCTATGTCCGCAGTGGAAAGAGATGAGTTGGAGGCAATCCGTACAAACACCACCAACGACAGCGGCAGTAGAAGCGTTGATGACAGCAACATTGAGCATGATGCCTGGGAAATGGATGTCGACGCGATTCTTGCGGGAGCGGAAACAATAGACATTAGCCATGCAGGGGGGGAATTCACCGCACTTGTGGATATTGCAGATGAATTACTGGGCCCACCAAATAGGTAAAACCACCATTTCTGTACTATCATACACATTCTGAGTCCATGCTAGACGACCCCGCACTCGTGACTACCGTACACGTAGGGATCGAACACAACGACGCGTCGACGCATTTAATATCCAGCTCCCAGCACTGATAGAGGCTTACATGGGGTGGATGCTTCAACTTGGAGAGGATGGGTATTCAGGAGAGTATGTATTGCCTCCCAATGCTGAAGTCCAGGCAACAACAACCATCTGTGAAGTCGACGTGTACCGTGAGTTTCGCCACTCTCTCTTTTTATTTTACTCACCCTTCCCCTGATCTCAGGCCTCCGACACGTCCAAGTTTATCACCTATCAACAGATGTGTACGTGTGTGCCGCGTTAATTCGACAAGGGCTCATGCCATGTGCCCCATATTCCCCTATAGCCGCAATCAGCATCCGAGCGCTCGAGCTCTTCCGATTGACACACCTCCGCTGCCCCCATGTCTCCATCCACTCCTTTGTCAAAAGCCTCTGCGACAT